CATGTATCTATCACTGCATGTACTTGTATGTCTAGTGCTATATGCCATACAAAACATGCTGCGCTTTTGCCATGTACAATATTTTCTAATGCCTCTATTCTGAGGCACATCAGAAGCAGCATAAAATTCTTGATGCAAATATTTTTAATTTGCTAAAAGGACAGGTCTAAACCATTCTTTACCGAAATACCCAACAAAATTAAAGCAAGTGTCTGAAATGAGACAATGTAACCTGATAAAGCTTCTGAATTCATACTAGCACATGAACTTATTCATGAACAACAACAAAAAAATCCCACCTGGGGTCAGCTAATCTTTAAAATGCTATGATTAAAACATATATATTAAATAAAATTATTATGTTTGCTGATGCTTAGTGACAAAGGCGATTGTAACTACCGTAAACTACAAAATGCATTTTACCGTGTTAATCTTCCTCCCAAAATGTTCATAATAAATCAATGAATGGCCTGTTATCGAATTAAGTTTGAACTCTTTTTGCATGTACACCTATTTAAAAGAATACTTATATGCTACAGTAAAACAGTTAATAACTTAATAAATGTTAAAATTGCATACAATCTCTATGACTAGCAACCCAAGAACATTTAAAAAGCTTTCACCTTCAATCCATTAGACATTACACTATGCTCCTATTTTTAAATACTGGTTCAATAAACAGTTTATGTGCCTATGTCTACATCAATGTTAGGAACTATCAGATTGAAGAATACAAGTACAGCTCAGAACAGGCAATGCACATTGTACACAGTTAAATATTTCCAGCAATATTAATGCATACTCCACGTATTGTAAGTATTATTTAGTTTTCCTTGGAATAAGCATGCATTTATGCAAGGAAAAAAGTTGAATTTACTGTACCATATCTCTCATGAACAGACGCGTCTATATTAATATACATCATTGATTTAATTTTTAGTTTTCTTGGCTTCCCGCTCACCTATCTAGAAGTGATTTCTCTGGTGATAACTAACACATCATGCTAATGAGAGAATCTAATGTACAATAGAGAAATGTCACTACTAATAATATTTGCATGAAGTTAAATAAAGCAACTGTAAGAGAATGTCAGACAGTTGTTCTTTAATAAGATACAGTTACACAATGAAATTATGTTGTTAATTTTGTTACATCATTGAGTGAATCCTAAATTACTATATAATGACGCACAGATCCATTTATAATTCTGATATACTGCTTTTTCACTCTCACATTGAAAAAAAGCTCCTGGAAAGGCTATTACCTTTTTATCTAAAACGGATTAAACATACTTCTTTCTTAACAAAAAGGTACATGGCTCTGGCATTTTGTGTCACTGTGGGTTACAACCATTTCTCTTACGGTCTCATTTCTGAAATGACTTAAAAGTATATTAGAACATTGCAGCCCTTAAGGTAACTGGATGAAGAAAAATGACATTTCTTATTCTGACAAATGCACAAAACATTTATGAAAGCAGACAATCACAAAAGCCTGCTTTTTTTAATCAATCAAATCCAGACCTTCTTTTCTGTTGTTAACAGCTCCTTGCCAGAACTAGAATGGGCAGTGGGTGCCCTGGACTTAACCAGATGAGCATGGAAGAGAAGCCAAGGGTTTCTGCTCATTCTCGACCTGTCACTGATCAAAGTGACCTAAAGAAGCACTTCTTTTTAAAAGTTAAGATTTATGCCCTTTGAGGTTATCAGACATTCTTCTGTATACAGAATGGGATGACCCCTTTCAAGCGAATCACACACTTTTACATGGACAAAAGGTGCATAGGCAAAACAATGCAGTCAAGTGGCCATGTCATAAACTTCTCACAGGTAATTCCTCTTCTCCTCTCACCCCACCAAAATCTAAATTTGCTCTGGAATGTGGAGATGCCATTTTCTTGTGCTCCCATTCTCCAAGAAAATAATCCAAAAATAAATACCATCATATTTGCTATCAATAGCCCAAACCTGTACAATCAATCCTGATTTTTCTAAGACACATACAGTTCCTTGCCATAATGAAGTAAGTTTTCCTTTTATTCTGAGAAAAGTTATTCATTCCTATAGCATGCAAATAGCAGTGCAGTGTGAGTTGAGAGGTATGAGGAGGGAGGGATCGCAAGGTTTTGTTTTGTTCTAAATCATTCTTCTTGCCATGCTCCACCCTTTGTACTAAAAACCTGCTTGAGATTAAGTTACAACTCCAAGAAAAAGTGATGGGGCTCGGGGTTCGTTTGCTTCTAAAAAACATGTGGAAAGCCAGCATTATACTTAGAAATTTAAAAAAGAAATGTCTCTAGTATTACTATGTATAGCTGGAAAAGTTTCATTAAACAGTTCTTTCAAACCATGCCAAACTTTGCTTGCAAGTTATGTACATTTCATAACTCCATGTTATTTGTACTCATGAAAACAATTTTTCTTAAAGCATAGGAAAAATTTAAAAAATACTTACATTTCCAGAAGATGGATTGAAAATAAATAACTAACAAATGGATGAAAATAGGTAACAGAAAACAATATTCAAAATTTTAGTGATTTAGAAAGAAACATTGGCACTTAGACACAAATTTGAAGCTGCACTTGCACACAGTCTGTGCTTATAGTCTGTGCGAGCTAGCAAGTTATAACAGCCTTAACAAATCAGAAATATAAGACAAAATGTTATCCTTAAAGAGGAGAGAAATGTGTTTAGCAAAATAACTTACCCTCCTCTTAAAAGCATGATGAAAGCATATTTGGACTGAATATTTTTAGCACATGATAAACAAACAAACAAAATATGACAAGGAGGTTAACACAGTACGCGAACATGTTAAGTACAGACTTTTAAGAAATAAATCTGTCCAACATTACCACCTTTGCAGTGCTACTGTGTGTGTATTCCAATGGAAGCACTGATGCAGCATCTACCACACATTTAGTCATTTAGTACATTACTTCTCTCCTTCTATACAGAATACAACATCGCCACGCATGTTCAATAATGTACAAAATCCAGTTAATACTCAAGAATTAGCACATTTAAAATATTATTTAAAAAAGAAAATAGAAACCAAACAGCCTAGCTTACGTGCATAAATGTTTGGCTTGGTCTAATGAGCTAGTTGTCTCAAATTATTTGACCCCCTTACACATTGTGATGCTCTTTTATTTAGTTTTGTTTCCTTTCTTTGTCAATGTTGAACATTTTCTAGTATTCCAGACATCACAGAGGCTAAATCTGTTGAAAAAGGTCTAATACTAAACAGGCAATCTAATACTATCTATGTGGTTCAATCGTCATTTATCAATTGATCGTTATCTGAATCTAGTTATGTTAACTCTTTTGTGGCCGAAATGGAAAGAACTTTTTCTCCACCTGAAAAATTTAATTCTTACTAAAAGAATACAGCAGATAATTTGAGTAACTGCTTTCTATGCTATTGCTCAACATCAGTATAACCAAATATGTTATGTATCACAGACATGCATACAGCTGATAAGGCTTGTAAGCAGTGCAGTAGCAGTTCACACTTCCTAGTGCCAAGTAGTGTTTTTGAAATGTGCATCTCTACCAGGAAATGAACTTTTTTACTTTCAAGAATGGGAAATTGAACAGAGTTGGTTATTTGCCTTATGTTGATTACATTCTATACCAGCATACTGTATCAGCAGTAATCAGGGTCCCTCTACAGGATATATCAAAATATTCCTTATTCAAATGCCTTCAACCTGTCCTGAGCTATACTGCTGAAACTGTTGTCCATAGACAACCACTATTTGATATTAACTATCTGCTTTGGAGTTTTTCTTGGCTTTAAAGGTTTTTTTAAATTAAATTACCATTTTATGGCCAGTATTCAGGCATGCTTTGTTACTGTAAACTATAAAAACCTAATTACTTTCTCTCTTTTTTCTTACAGTACAACGCCTCTCAGGTAAATGAGTTCATTCATTTTATGTCCAACATTAAATAAAAGTCTAATATTAATATACAAATCATTTACTAAGTCCTCTTTTGGCTAACACAATATTTCAGTTATTATCAGTCAGTGTCAGACCATAATTGGAAACTAGTTTTCAGAAAGGCAACGTCCCCTGGTAGGGAGTCACCCTGTTAAAAACCTCCAAGTTGAACTTCCCTCCCCTGCTTGAGCCCCGTCCAAGCTGAAAGTTTCTCCCTCTCTTTTTTTTCTTTTTTTTTCCCTCCCCCCCCCCCCCCCCCGTATCACCAAGTGCATGGTACAGAGACACTGGCTCCTGTGATTAATTATCAGTTATTACTGGCCTTGCAGTAACATTTTCGCTTTCCCGTCAGAACCGGCATACCAAGCTGCCTTAAACGCGGCCCCCGGTGAAGGAGCAGCTCTGGGGAGGACGCCAAGGCAGAGCTCCGCAGAGAGGGGGGGAGAGAGAGGGAGCGAGCGGGGAGAGGGAGCGGGAGAGGGACCCGAGGACTGAAACTATCTCCTCTAACCACCCTCAGCTCCGTGCTGGCAGCAGCTCCAGCAGGACGGCTCGCCGCTCCTTCCCCCTGAATAAAACTGTGTTCTGCCACATGAAGTCAATTACGCCGTTCTGAGGGGCCCCCTAAATTTAGTATCAGTTTGATTTGGGGGCTTATGTACTCAGGAAGAAAGAAAGGAGTTTTGCTGGGATAGCAGATACTTTTATTTATGGGACGGGGGGAGAGCGAGGGGAAAAAGACTGGAACAAAACAAAAGCAAACAAAGAAAGAAAAACAGTCTTACTACAAGCAAAGCTCTATTTGGAAACTTTAAAACAAATGCTTTGCTTTTACTTAAACCTTTAATATTTTTTCCTCTTTTAAAAAGGAGCCCTTAGGGAAGCAATGAAGTAACCATGCACATTCCAATGACATAGTTATGACAGTTCAGAGGCTAACTATGTAGTGATGAATGAAACAAAAATGAAACGTGGAAAGAAAGAGAAAAAGCAGGGGGAAAAAAAAAAAGAGCACAAAAATGCCATGTTTTAAAATAAACGAAAGTAACATACCTGTTGGGACATTCTGAATAAGAGGTTAGTGTCAGTGTTCTGCCATGTCCCCATGAAACCAGAGTCGGTCGCTGCCGTTCTTGTTCCGAACTGCATGGAGTTGTCAGTGCAGGAGTCTCTTAAAGTCAAGTCTCTTGCCCTCTTTCGCTCTCTGTGTCTCTGTGTGTGTCTGTCTCTCACATCCACTTCTGCCTCTTCTGACTGAAAAGTGAAGGTGGATTTTTTGAGCCTCTTGGCAGCCAGTAGCAGGAGTGTAGTGTAGTTAAGAAGCTAGCTGCACTGTGCGTTTCATTTGGGAAGGGGGGATTCAGGGGAGAGGGTCAGAGCTTCTTTCGCACCTTCAGCACAGATACCCCTATCATTTATGCATAGATTGTGACTCCCCAAGCTCGCCTTTGCTCAGTTTAACAGCTGCCTGTCAGGTGTGCATGCAGCACTAAGGAGACCCAACCATCAGCTTCAAACTCTCAGCCACTGGATGTCATTGGATAGCAGAGCAAAGAGTCAACTGCACTGCTCCACTGTCAGGCACCAAATGACATCCTGCACTAACCCTTCAGTCTACAGATACACAGATACACACACACGCACATTCTCTCTAAGCAGCACAATGATCAGAGTGAATTGGGAGAAAGAAAAGGCTGTGGCCTTTTCCCTGTCTTTCTCTGTTTTTCCTCAACAATGCTGTCAAGTACAGCATGTAATATCTGACACTTGCCTACCACACAGGATTAGCAAACCTTAAAAAAAAAAAAAAAAGAAAAAGGAAAAAGCAAGCAAGTAAGCAATTACTCTTAAATACAGTCAATATTCACTTAGAAGTAAAACATAAAAGTTGGCCTGGTTATTTTCTAAATATTAGTCAGACAAGGATTGTGGGATAGTCGGTTCCTATCCCAAATAAAACTCTTACCAAAGAGGGGAAAAAAGACATGATCTAACTCCTTTTGAAATAAAATCAGAAAGTCACATGCACATTTCATCTCTCACACCCCTCTGTTCCCTTGCCCACTGCTAAGTGTCTTAAGCAGCATCGTGAGCAAGAAAGGACGGAAAAATGAAAAAGCTAGCCCTTTCTTCCCCTCCCCCAAAAGATCAAAAGTAGTTTTTTGTTTTGGTTTGGTTTTTTAAGTAGCTGGTTGAAGCAGATACAATACACCTTTCAAATCGTAAGAACAAAGAAATGAATCACAGCAGAAAAGAAGCCAGTCCCACACAGTTAAAAAGTAATGCAAAAGAAACGATATTTTTCCTTTAAGATCTTTCTTCTGTAGTTAAGGTACAGTACTATATACCAGAATAAATAATAGTACTACAATACTGTTTTTAATTACAATGGCTTTTTTAAGTGAATCTTATTTGAAAAATTCTCTTACCCACTTCATCCTTTACATACAGACAAGAAACCATAACTCTGCAAACAAACTTCATAAATGTAAAACAAAATTCATGCAATCTCATAAAAAAACGGCCAGAGTAGTAAAAAAAAAAAAAAAAAAAAAAAAAAAAAAAAAAAAAAAAAAAAAAGCTATCCTTTCCAACATAAGGAACATTCATCTTCTAATAAAATCTACAAATTTAGGAGGACAAATGTACCACTCACTGCTTTTTTCTTAACTCAGGAATAACAATAAACCTCACTCTCTGAAACAACAAAAGAAACAGAAGAGAGCTTCAGTGGCTGCTCTGTGTCATTAGTGTGCAATGAGAAAAGATGAGAAGATGTACACTATGTTGACACAAATGTGCCTTCCCCTCTAGACCCTACATCTCTTGAAAGCTTTTCTGTTAAACTTTCCTCCAGTTCAGCACCATTAAGTACAAAAAAAAAGTCTCAAAAGCAGCAAATTCAATATCCAAGAAGAAACAAGCAAGAACCCCAAGAACTGTTGCCTTAAAATATATTAAGTCCACCTGTGGTCAATAAAAATATTCTCTACTGGGGAGGGGAGAATGACACTTAGGAGTCAATTGTGCCAACAGTGGCTGTACCTTTACAGCTAGCTATTAGCCCCTCAAACTCCCTCTAAAATTTGCCAGCCTCTTCATTTCTGAAGTGGCACTCAGTGCCTCAGTCAAGCTGCATGCTCAGCTCCTGACCTTCCCACTAATGGCTGTTATTTGTGGGAGGCTTAAGGACACTGTCAATAGAAGCTTCCTCCTCTCTTCTCCTTTCTGCATCTCTTGCGTGCTCTCGCTCGCTGTCTTTATCTCCACCTCTTACCCCCCCCCCCCACCTGTTTTTCTTCTTCTCGCGCGCTGCCCCGCCCCCCCCGTTCTTTCTCCTGTCCTGCAGTCCTTTCCTCTCCCAGAGAATAAAAAACCACCCGCGCACACACATGCATGCACACACGCACGCACGCGCATGCACACACACAGACACACACACACACACACAAAATCAACTGGCATGCAGCAGCAAGCACCTGCAGTAATAGACTCTTTTATTAAAACTGTTATTCTGCAAGACTTGAAATTCCCGGTGGACCGGGCCATGTCAAAGCCGATATAATTAACTAGAGGCTCAGCAACGGATCAATTACCAGACAAGCAAGTGATAGTGAAATCAATGAAAGATCATCAGCCACATTATCAGTGTTGCAACTCATTAGGGTAAAACTGAGAAATGTGCTCAAAGCGAGCCCAAGCAAGGTGGCATTACAAAACAAAGGGCTAATTTGGAGACCCTGCTGTGAACAATCTGTAACAGAATTAGCCTTTTTTTCCCCTAAACTGCAGAGCTCAGTAACTAAATGTGACAGACTGAGAGAAGCAGTTTATTAAGACACCAACTCCAAGTTTATTTAGTTCATAAACTCTCTCCTAGAAAATCAATACAGTCTGTACAGGGTTATTAGGCTGACTAGCTAATACATCCAAATCTGGTCTTCCCAAGCAGAAATCTTCGCCAGAATGCTACAACCTTACATGAAATCTAAGCACATTCAGATCACTGTATCAAAGGAGGACTATCATTTAATTGCCGAATTTGTGACTTCTACATCACAGCTTCAGAACATTGTAAAGAAAGAAATATTTCCCCCTCACTAAGTCACATGACAGAACAGAAAAAATTTAGTCTGGCAGTTCCAGTCCAGCTTGGGTCATCCTTAAATTTACGGCACCTACGTAGCATCTTGCTTGGCACAATAATGCCAGCAAATAAAACCAAGAAAACAAATACTTACTGAATTTCAAACAGGGATATGAAAAGTAGTAGTCACTAAGGAGATAAAAGTAATCACTGCAAGAAAAATACAACAGAAGTACACCTCCTACAGTAGCAGATTAAGCCTCCTCTAACTGTACAGCAATATGCGGGGGAAAAAAAAAAAAAGAAACAAAAAGAAACAAAACTGACATAAAATTTAGCAAAAATTGTAATACTCAGAATCCAGGCTTAGAACCTAGTACTTCCCCTTGTAATCTATTGCCCTCTGCTTATTGCTACAATTCCTTTGGAGGCAGAAATATTCTTCAAATCATCTGTGGGAAGCACAGGAACTACTTGTTAGTACACAAGTTTGGCACAAACTGAGTAGAACAGTATTTTTTCTCTCCCCTTTGGCTAACTATATGAGAATCAGAAACAATGTAGACAAGGTAAGGGCTCTAACAGCATTTAAAGAAAATCCTTTTAAAAGCATTTAAAAAAATCTCATTTTCAATAGATTTTTAATCAGGAATATGTTCTGCAAGTATTTTACTGCTATCCAATGGCATTTGTGCTGAAAGATAAAAGGATCTGTGAAATTATTTTACATTTTCAGCTCCTGGGAATACCCGGGTGCTGAATAGAAGAGGTGGCTACAGAATCCAGGTTCTAATGGAACTTAAAACGCAGTGCAGTTGCAGTTGTCTACTTGTGTTTTTAAGAATTTTAAGTGCTTTGTGAACTGTATGTGGGGTTAAGAGTTTTTTCTTTCTTTTCATTTTAAGTAATACTTATTACTTACTATCAAAGACAATTGCATTACACATGTGGCTTTATGAATCTTTTAAAAATATAACATTGTTTAATTCGTCTCTCCTCTTAAAACTACCGATACAGAAATGCACCATATGGCAAGAAAGGATAGAAAAGGTGATTACAGAAAGCCCAGGTGATGCCAATAAGAAAATCTAGCCAGCAGAAGGCGCTATATAATGTAAACGTATCTTATTTTTTCTAAATTCCATTATTCTGATCATTTAAGCGTTAATTAGTTCAGTCAAAGGGTTAATGCAAATAGTTCAAAATGACTAAACATTGAAAAAATATTTTCTTCTTTTTGTTCCAATTATTCTGTATTATTAATTAAGCTGTTAAAACATGCAACAGTTACTATCTTTTTAATGTTCAATAATATGTAAACTCTTTAAAGAGATTTTTGTTCCACGTCTCTGCTTTAGATATTAATCAAGAAAATAATTACAGAGGAATTTACTAAAAAAAATCTACATGCATATAACTATGTACTGTACATGTACGTTCAACAAGGTCCAATTAGTTGGAAAGAATTTGCATTTCAGTTAGTATGAGCTAACAAGACTGTAGGGAGACAATGCAATTCTACTAGCAGGGCAAGGAAGAATGGTGTTTTTCTGTAAGCATTAATTCCCATAACTGATCATTTTAAAATGTTACTGATCTTTACAATATTTGTTTTTCAAACATCTAGGAGTTCAGTATAAATGTTTATATTAACAGTACATGCAGCAGTGTCCCCGAGACTACTCCTGGGGAAAAAAAAGATAAAACAGTGAGCATAGATTAATATTTCTGTTGATTTAGTATTTACGGTTCTATTTAATGATAACTATCAATTGATTATTCTAAAGGAGCGTTCCTTACATTTGGTGTTCATTCTCAGAATTCATTAAAGGCACTGGGAAAAGATTCAGAAAATCTTTATCTCTTTTTATGCAAATGTTCCGATTTTCAATAGTAACGATATATTATATACACACGACATACACAGTTGGTGATCTCATATCTGTATACATAGTTTTCCTAAATCTCTGTACCCTCAACTGACTTACTGGATAGTACCTGTAATTCCCAGAGTTCATTTTGCTGCAGATATTAACAGTTTCTGTAATTTGTAATGACAGTAAACTGGCCTTTGCTCTTCCCTTATTCACTATTCATTTCTAGGCTTGGTTAAGTAGATAGCTGGGTTAAAGATCAGTGGTTTTTCATGTGACACATTCTGGT